TGTGATCCAGCAGCATGCCAGTCATGTTCTGCACATGACATTTCAACCATTCGGCATCCTTCACTAGAAAAAATGTCCAGAAACAGATCACATCGTGAAGTTCTTGATTCATCTGCTCCTATTCTAACCTTATCATAAACAAAAGCAAGACCGTTCCACCCGTTTTTTCCACTCTCTGGCCCGAACATAGGATGCGTGCAGAGAATATCAAAATCATGTGACAAATGTTGAAGAAACAAATTTCTAGGAAATTCTTTGACAGAAAGCACATCAACAAATAAAGTATTTCTCTTCAATCTCTGCACAGGCAATGATTTAAGAACTTTCTCCGTGGAAAGGATTGAAGTGCAAAGTAAAATCACTTCTGGATGTTGTTCAAAAAGATCATCAACATTATTAAAATATGAAGCCCCCATTTCCTCAGCCACATGAGAGTAGTCCGATCTAGAGTATGCTAACACTTGATGACCATGACGCACAATAGCTTTTGCAAGAAACTGACCAAAGTTGCCGAAGCCAATAATTGCAATCTTGAGCTTTGCGCTGCCTTCAGATTGGCTTGAAATATTTGGCTTGAATTTGTTGAGTTCGGTAACATCACCAGATCTGATGATTAGCATAAAACGTAAATATAAATTAGACTTGATAGACTAACCCCAAATAAAACAAAAATAGTGACAACTTCAATCTTTCCAAAAAATGGTCATTATTTATCATCAATTGCATGCAAAAACAGTCTCTGACCCTGTTCCATCAGGTAAACATTAAGCCAATTCAAAACCAAAGAAAACAAAAATCAAAGAAAGCAAAATTTCTCTTACATCCCCGAATATAAAATTACAAAATCCAAATTCAAGCCCCCTTAATGTCCTAACCAACATTGAGATTTGGGTAAAATAGTTTATACATTGTGTCATTTAATCACACTATCATTCAATAACAAATTATCATATATAGTAAGTTTAGCTTTTTTTTTTCAGAACCATCATGAAAGTCAACCATGATTTTAACCTAGCAATGCATAAACATTAAAAACGAGGTTACAATAAACCTTTAAACAAATATACACCTAAGTTCTTTGGAGATGAGTGATAGTACTGGTGCAAATCCATTTAGAGCATTCATTGAGTTGTCTGCAGACTGACTTGAATAATTTGTCTGGCATTTGTCAAGTTTAGCAACATCATCGGATCTGAAGATTAGCATAGGATTTAACTATAAATTAGACTTGATCGGAAAGACCAAATATAGTAACAATCTCAATCCTCCCTACAAATGGTCATTATTTATTATCAATTTCAAAACAAAAAAAAAAAAAAATAGCAGAAACCATAGCAACAAAGCTAACCTGCCCTTAGATCCCCCGATAAATGAACCAAACTCATGTCCCAATAATGTACTAAACAACACCATAATTCAATCACACATCATATTTGTTAACTCTTACCATAACCATCTTAAAAGTCAAGTCATATGTATCATGATCATCTTAAAATTACCATGATCTGTGATTGCAAAACATTGCAAACAAACGAGGCATATAAATTATAGTATGTCTTTGAAAAACAAAGGAACACCTGTGTTCTTTGGAGGGTAGTGACAGCGTAGGTACCGATCCATTTTGACCCTTCTTGAGCAGTTTATACCCATAGTCATCTGGTAAACTATGCCCCTTTCCAATCCCAGCATTATCAAACAGCTGCTCCCTCACAACACCGTGCAACCGCCCCATTAGCTGTTTCCGCAAATCCTCGAACGCGAAATCTAACCGCTCCAACATCTCCAGCGAATTCTTATTAAACATAAACAACCCGTAGTAGAGATCAAAACTATCTCCAGCAGTGTTCTCCACCAAATTGATCAAAGTCTCGTAACCTTTGGTGTTAATCGGAGTGGACTCCAACATCAGCATCTCCAAAACCCTCCCAACGGTGTGCGTGATGAACTGCGACTCCGCGGCGAACATATCGTGATCGGCGCAACACATTTCCACCATTCGGCACCCTTCCCTTGCGAAGATGTTGAGGAACTTCTCGCACCGTTCGATTCGGCTGTTGTCGTCGCCTATTCGAACCTTCTCGAAGACGAAGGGGAGGCCGGTCCACGCGCGAGGGGCGCTTTGTGGACCGAACATTGGGTGCGTGCATAGGATATCGAAATCGGAGGGGAGCGCGTGAAGCAAGAGGTTTTTGGGGAACTCCTTGACGGAAAGAACGTCGACGAAGAGTGTACTGCGTTTGAGGCTGTGGAGTGGGAGAGTGTGGAGCACGAGCTGTGTTGAGATGATGGAGGAGCAGAGGAGGATGACTTCGGGGTGCTCCTCGCAGAGGTCATGCGGGTTGTGGAAAAACGTGACGCCGAGTTTGCGGGCCTCGTCGGTGTAATCGGAACGGGAATGGGCCAGTACGGTGTGGCCCTGCCGGACGAGGGTTCGGGCCAGGAACTGGCCGAAGTTGCCGAAGCCCACGATGGCGATCTTCAGCCTCTGGGCGTCGTGGAACTGTTGGGCCACTCTGGACTCGTAGTCAAAGGGCTGGGCCGCATCGATGGCGCGAATGCGGAGGGGCCTGTGGACGCGAACGCGTGAAGAGAACGCACTGGAAGAGGAGAATGGAAGAGCGTTAGGTTTGAGATTTCGGCGAGTAGTTGTTGAAGGCAATGAAGTTGACGGCTTAAGTGATGACGACGCCTGAAAGGTTGAAACAGCCACCATTGTTTATGGGAATGAATCCACGGGAAGAGATACCAACCTTAAAATTTAGCGGCGACAAGTGGCTCTCGACCACCACCTTAAAAGTTATGTCTTTTTTTTTTTAATGTTATGCACATGGTGCACATTTGTTAGCTTATGAGAAACAAACATTAATTTTGTGTAGAACTTTAAAGAACATCCCTAGCTAGTGTATTTAAAATGTATAATTATGTTAAATATTCATATCAAGAGACATTTTCGTAATTATTTTTCTTTAATATGACCTTAATGAAAAAAAAATGTTTCAATTTTTACTTCTTAATTAAAAAGATTTTACATTTTTTAGTTTCTAAATAAATACTCATTCTTTTTTGTCCTTTTAATAAAGCGCAGTTAACTTTCTTTACTTTATTTAATAATTACCAGATTGACTAAAACTTAAATCAAATATATTTGTCTATTATATATTTTTAAAATAAAACTTAAGAAAACTAAACAAAATGAGAATCAAAGGTAACTTCTAAAATATTATATATCGAAAAATACTTTAATAATTATACATCATATGAATACTAACATTATATTTTACTATTTAAAAAATAATAATGAATTATTTTACATTAGACTTATATATGTTTCAGTCTTCTTAAAATGAACAACTTTGTTCTCATTGCAGAGACTATTCTATTGGTTTATTCATTTTAAAGTTAATTATTTTGTTATCTTAATGAGACTTATTAACCATTTATGTGTGAAGTAATTGGTCAAATGATCATATAACAAGGAAAGCATCTAATACCTTTGAAAATAATTTAAAACATACAAGTAACTATCATTTATTTTTTAAAATAAAAGTAAACAAAAAATAATGATTTTAAATTTGAAGGGACCAATTCTTTTTTCTTGGAAACTATACAAATTATGTATGTATGTATATATTGAAAGGATTATAATACTTTGCAATTTAATTTAATATAAAAGTATATATATATATATATATATATATATATATATATTAATATTATTATAAAGAGAGAGTGTGTGGTAGAACTTCAAAAATATTTGAAAAAGCGATATAATTAAAAATATTTTTATTTATGTATTAATTTTTACATATAAAAAAGTTTGAAAGGGCAAGGCCTTCTCAACTCCGGGTCCATCATTATATAAATCATAATATTTTAATTCAATTATTAATAAAATATTATGCATATACATAATTTTTTATTTAATATTTAATAATATATGTATATATTAAAAGATATAGGAAAATGATAGTTTAAGATTTTAAGTAGATACGATTAGATGTAGTGAATTCTATTTTATTGAACATTGTGGTTAATATAAACAATATAAAATGGGAATTTCAATCTTTTAAGATACTTATTTACAATTAATTAATGGAAAATGATCTTAAAATATTTTTCTTCAATTATTTATTTATTTATTTTTGTATACATGATTTGTTTTTAGCCTTTTTTTTATAAAACTTAACTACTATACAATAGTTTTATATATTTATTATTTAATTTTATTCAACTCTTAAATATTATTATAGATATTGTAATAATTATTATTATCATATTTATTATAAAAAATTAGGTTTGAAATACAAATGTTTTTATTAATTACTATTTTAACTTATTGAAATTTTTAATGCAGAAGTTGCTTTTATTTTTCATTCACAATTATTCAAAATTATTAATCAGGACCTTCAATTTTTTTACCTAAAATATAATATTTTTATACAAGAATATTTGGGAACTTTCTTATAAGACAAAAATATTGTTATGATGAATAAATACAAAAGAATATATTTTCAATTTGAATAAGAGTTCACTTTTTGTCACCACAATTTTAGCACCCCCACCCAATTGGTATCCTAATTCTAACATTTTATCCTTCTCATCTTCATCTTTTACATTCTTAATAATTCCACATCAAAGTTATAAATCACTTGATTTTTCACTTTTAAGTGATAATTTGAGCTTAATAATTCCACCATAAATCACCTTAATTTTAACCTATTAATCCAATTTTTAATCCAATTTAGCAACAGAAACTCAATTATACTGATTTTTTATTTGAAAAAAATCATTTATTTGAAAAAGTCCAACATAATTATGAACTATGATTAAATCTATTTTTAAATATTGAATTTATTGGAAAAGTTGAATTATTCATTATGAAAAAATTATTGAAAACAATATATAATTAATGTACATAAATAATTTATTTTGTTTAATCACTTCCAAACTTATCACATTCTCAAAATATGATAAATCAAGTAACAAAATCGTAGCGCCAAGTGGGTTTCATAAACAAAATTGTTTGTTGTCAAAAGCACCTGATGAACAATTGTTTGCAGGACAGTCATTGGGTTGGCATGAGCTAATTTTGCAACCATCCGACCCAGCTGCTTCAAATTTTCCTTTGCCAGCCTTTTCAAAATACGTCTAGTGTCCAACTGTACAGAAAGAGTAAAGAAAATGAGAATAACAAAGAATCAAGCCATGAACATTGGACGTAAATTTGTAATAGGTCATGTGTTTGACACTGGTTTAATATCTCCAGTCACTGACAAAGTTCCAAATATGCTGTCTCGTGGTCCAGTTCAAAAACCTTCGGAAGAAAGTTATGACATTTCTGTCATGTGACTCTATGGTATAAGTTATCCGTATGCAAGATAACATCTTCAAGGGTATCCCATTTGGCCTCACTTCAAGGGTATCTCATTTTTGTTGGTTTGAAGTCCTCTCCCTCTTCGATATCCAACTGAACCCAATTTCACATTGAACAAAACATTAATTGGACAAACAACAGATGAAACTACAACTCAATTTACAAATTATCAGAGAAAGAAATTAATCCGATCACTGTATGAATAAAATGAGAAAGTACTAGCATAGGTATATAATAATTTACCTTGGGAGCTTGAAAAACTCGTGTTTCAACTTTAGTAAAGCCAATACTGTTAGACATACAGAGCATATGTTCAGAACCATTATTGCTTCGACAAAAAATACCTGTACATCAAAATAATAAGAATCAAGCATCAACCAACCACAATTTAACAGCCTCTTGTCATAGATATATATTAACAACACCAATTGCATCTTCATGATAATCGAACCACAATGACAAGTAGTGAAATATCTGAAACAAAGGACATCTATACCTTAAGGTTTTCCTTCCGTTTGTGCATCAAATCCTCTTCTTGAAACATGATTTTCCATGAAATTTGTAAAATAATTGATTCATAATTTTGACAAAAATATTTATAGAGCAAAAGCATGTAAGCAAAATTTAAAAATAAAACATCAACAACAACAAAACCATCTAGCAAAAGCAAAAATAACTTCAAGAAGAAATATGAACTCAAGTCCCACTATAACTATTTCCTAAGCTTTATGACCTAAGTCATAAGTCCTAGTACTCCTATACCCTAACCTTACTTTGACCAAAGCCTTTAACGTTCACTAAGCCCTCCTATGTCCTCTGTCTTATGCCCAATGTACTATTTCCTATCCTCTCTGCACTATGCCCTATACCCTCTGCCCTCTGTCCTATGCCCTATGCCCTATGCCTTATGACTACTAGACTTGATGGAATAGTTTGTCTTGGGGAGCTCATACGCGCATCAATGCCAATGATCAGGGTAGGAGCATCAGAAACAAATTGGACGGAAAGAAAACCTTCTCTTGGTAATATTGAATTCAATCCATCAAACTGCACCATTAATAAAGACAACGATAAGATCAAGAATCTTCCATCAAAAACAACAAATACAAAAAATTATACAACTAATTAAATATAATATCGTACCTTAACATTGATCTTCATCCAAACATTTGATAAATATTGATCGTTGATAGTTAATGGTAGAGGCAACACTCGACAATAGTCCCTATTTCAGCAAGTACCTTATTCTTTAAAGAACCCAATCAAGTTTAGTTAATTTTTAACAATAATGAATTTGAAATTTTTATTTTATGCAAAAGATAAATAAAATAACTCACCAATTCTTTCTGTCAAGAAAGAGAAATACAACGAATTGCAGAATCCAAGAAACTTTAGCATCCACGAGGCGCACTCTGAGATTAGGTGGAACATATTTATTGCAAAGATCTTCACAAGGTGTTTAAATCACTTGTAAGAAAAATAATAGAAAAACATAGCAAGATTATTATGGTTCAAATCACCTTAAATTTTGAAACTTACAATTGTTTTAATTTCACTGCACTTGAAAAGATCTCCTACAAATCCTTGTGTAGCACATCAGGCAGAAGACATAAGCTCTATCTTTGTTTGATTGAATAGGGTTCGGAAAACAAGTCAGGTTGATAACAAAACTGATCATTTCTAAATAAGAACACCGAAATTTAGATAAGAAGTTCCACCTCCAGTTTCTTGGTTTGAAGTTCTCCCCTCTCCGATCTCCAACTGAACATAGTTTCACATTGAACAAAACATTAATTGGACAAACAACAGATGAAACTATAACTCAGTTTACAACTTATCTTAAAGAAAGAAATTATGTCAAACAGTGCATGATAAAAATGTGAAAGTACTAAAATAAGTATATAATAATTTACCTCGAAAGCTTGTAAAACTTGTGTTTCTACTTGAGTATAGCCATTACTGTTAAACATAAGTAGCATATGTTAAAAACCATAATTGCTTCGACAAACGAATGCCTGTAATGTCAGAATAATAAGAATCAAGCATCAACCACCCACAATTTAAGACCCTGTTGGCATAGAATGATATTAAGAACACTAATTGCATCATGATGATAATCGAACGATAATGGCAAGTAATGAAATATCCGACACAAAGGACATCTTTACCTTAAAGTTTTGGTTCTGTTTGTGCATCAAATCCTCTTCTCGAAATCCTTGTGCAGCACATCAGGCAGAAGACATAAGTTTTATCTTTGTTTGATTGAATACGGTTCGGAAAACAAGTCAGGTTGATAACAAAACTGATAATTTCTAAATAACAACACCGAAATTTAGATAAGAAGTTCCACCTCCCGTTTCTTGGTTTGAATTTCTCCCATCTCCGATCTCCAACTGAACATAATTTCACATTCAACAAAACATTAATTGGACAAACAACAAATGAAACTATAACTCAGTTTAAAACTTATCTTAAAGAAAGAAATGAAGCCAAACAGTGCATGAGAAAAATGTGAAAGTACTAACATAAGAATATAATAATTTACCTTGGAAGCTTGTAAAACTTGTGTTTCTACTTGAGTATAGCTATTACTGTTAAACATAAGTAGCATATGTTAAAAACCCTAATTGCTTTGACAAACGAATGCCTGTAATGTCAGAATAATAAGAATCAAGCATCAAGCATCAACCACCCACAATTTAAGACCATGTTGTCATAGAATGATATTAAGAACACTAACTGCATCATGATGATAATCAAACGATAATGGCAAGTAGTGAAATATCCGAAGCAAAGGACATCTTTACCTTAAAGTTTTGGTTTTTTTTGTGCATCAAATCCTCTTCTTGAAACATGATTTTCCATTTCGATGAAATCTGTAAAATATTTGATCCATAGATTTTGACAGAAATATTTATAGAGCAAAAATGTGTAAGTAATTTTAATAATAAAACAACAGCAAAACAATCTAGCAAAAGAATAATAACTTCGAGAAGAAATTTGAACTCAAGTCCCACTATAAATAAGTCCTAAGGTTTATGACCCAAGTCATAAGTCCTAGTACTCTAAAGCCTATACCCTAACCTTACTTTGACCTAAGCCTCTAATGTCAACTAAGCTCTCCCTATGTCCTATGACCTATGCCTTAGCCCTATATACTACGTTCTATGAACTATTCCCTATGTCCTATACCTTAAGCCCTATGTATTTTGTCCTATACCCTATGCACTATGTCCTATGCCTTGTGCACTATAACCACTACACTTGAAGGAATACTTTCTCCTGGGGAGTGCAAAGAGGAATCAATGCCAATGATCATTGTAGTAGCATCAAAAACAGATAGGACTGAAAGAAAATTTCTTCTTGGTAATATTGAATTTAATCCTCCAAGCTGCACCATTAGTAAAGACAACGATAAGACAAAGAATCTTCCATCATAAACAACAAATACATCATATACAACAAATTATACAGCTANTCATTGGGTTGGCATGAGCTAATTTTGCAACCATCCGACCCAGCTGCTTCAAATTTTCCTTTGCCAGCCTTTTCAAAATACGTCTAGTGTCCAACTGTACAGAAAGAGTAAAGAAAATGAGAATAACAAAGAATCAAGCCATGAACATTGGACGTAAATTTGTAATAGGTCATGTGTTTGACACTGGTTTAATATCTCCAGTCACTGACAAAGTTCCAAATATGCTGTCTCGTGGTCCAGTTCAAAAACCTTCGGAAGAAAGTTATGACATTTCTGTCATGTGACTCTATGGTATAAGTTATCCGTATGCAAGATAACATCTTCAAGGGTATCCCATTTGGCCTCACTTCAAGGGTATCTCATTTTTGTTGGTTTGAAGTCCTCTCCCTCTTCGATATCCAACTGAACCCAATTTCACATTGAACAAAACATTAATTGGACAAACAACAGATGAAACTACAACTCAATTTACAAATTATCAGAGAAAGAAATTAATCCGATCACTGTATGAATAAAATGAGAAAGTACTAGCATAGGTATATAATAATTTACCTTGGGAGCTTGAAAAACTCGTGTTTCAACTTTAGTAAAGCCAATACTGTTAGACATACAGAGCATATGTTCAGAACCATTATTGCTTCGACAAAAAATACCTGTACATCAAAATAATAAGAATCAAGCATCAACCAACCACAATTTAACAGCCTCTTGTCATAGATATATATTAACAACACCAATTGCATCTTCATGATAATCGAACCACAATGACAAGTAGTGAAATATCTGAAACAAAGGACATCTATACCTTAAGGTTTTCCTTCCGTTTGTGCATCAAATCCTCTTCTTGAAACATGATTTTCCATGAAATTTGTAAAATAATTGATTCATAATTTTGACAAAAATATTTATAGAGCAAAAGCATGTAAGCAAAATTTAAAAATAAAACATCAACAACAACAAAACCATCTAGCAAAAGCAAAAATAACTTCAAGAAGAAATATGAACTCAAGTCCCACTATAACTATTTCCTAAGCTTTATGACCTAAGTCATAAGTCCTAGTACTCCTATACCCTAACCTTACTTTGACCAAAGCCTTTAACGTTCACTAAGCCCTCCTATGTCCTCTGTCTTATGCCCAATGTACTATTTCCTATCCTCTCTGCACTATGCCCTATACCCTCTGCCCTCTGTCCTATGCCCTATGCCCTATGCCCTATGACTACTAGACTTGATGGAATAGTTTGTCTTGGGGAGCTCATACGCGCATCAATGCCAATGATCAGGGTAGGAGCATCAGAAACAAATTGGACGGAAAGAAAACCTTCTCTTGGTAATATTGAATTCAATCCATCAAACTGCACCATTAATAAAGACAACGATAAGATCAAGAATCTTCCATCAAAAACAACAAATACAAAAAATTATACAACTAATTAAATATAATATCGTACCTTAACATTGATCTTCATCCAAACATTTGATAAATATTGATCGTTGATAGTTAATGGTAGAGGCAACACTCGACAATAGTCCCTATTTCAGCAAGTACCTTATTCTTTAAAGAACCCAATCAAGTTTAGTTAATTTTTAACAATAATGAATTTGAAATTTTTATTTTATGCAAAAGATAAATAAAATAACTCACCAATTCTTTCTGTCAAGAAAGAGAAATACAACGAATTGCAGAATCCAAGAAACTTTAGCATCCACGAGGCACACTCTGAGATTAGGTGGAACATATTTATTGCAAAGATCTTCACAAGGTGTTTAAATCACTTGTAAGAAAAATAATAGAAAAACATAGCAAGATTATTATGGTTCAAATCACCTTAAATTTTGAAACTTACAATTGTTTTAATTTCACTGCACTTGAAAAGATCTCCTACAAATCCTTGTGTAGCACATCAGGCAGAAGACATAAGCTCTATCTTTGTTTGATTGAATAGGGTTCGGAAAACAAGTCAGGTTGATAACAAAACTGATCATTTCTAAATAAGAACACCGAAATTTGGATTAGAAGTTCCACCTCCCATTTCTTGGTTTGAAGTTCTCCCCTCTCCGATCTCCAACTGAACATAGTTTCACATTGAACAAAACATTAATTGGACAAACAACAGATGAAACTATAACTCAGTTTACAACTTATCTTAAAGAAAGAAATTATGTCAAACAGTGCATGATAAAAATGTGAAAGTACTAAAATAAGTATATAATAATTTACCTCGAAAGCTTGTAAAACTTGTGTTTCTACTTGAGTATAGCCATTACTGTTAAACATAAGTAGCATATGTTAAAAACCATAATTGCTTCGACAAACGAATGCCTGTAATGTCAGAATAATAAGAATCAAGCATCAACCACCCACAATTTAAGACCCTGTTGGCATAGAATGATATTAAGAACACTAATTGCATCATGATGATAATCGAACGATAATGGCAAGTAATGAAATATCCGACACAAAGGACATCTTTACCTTAAAGTTTTGGTTCTGTTTGTGCATCAAATCCTCTTCTCGAAATCCTTGTGCAGCACATCAGGCAGAAGACATAAGTTTTATCTTTGTTTGATTGAATACGGTTCGGAAAACAAGTCAGGTTGATAACAAAACTGATAATTTCTAAATAACAACACCGAAATTTAGATAAGAAGTTCCACCTCCCGTTTCTTGGTTTGAATTTCTCCCATCTCCGATCTCCAACTGAACATAATTTCACATTCAACAAAACATTAATTGGACAAACAACAAATGAAACTATAACTCAGTTTAAAACTTATCTTAAAGAAAGAAATGAAGCCAAACAGTGCATGAGAAAAATGTGAAAGTACTAACATAAGAATATAATAATTTACCTTGGAAGCTTGTAAAACTTGTGTTTCTACTTGAGTATAGCTATTACTGTTAAACATAAGTAGCATATGTTAAAAACCCTAATTGCTTTGACAAACGAATGCCTGTAATGTCAGAATAATAAGAATCAAGCATCAAGCATCAACCACCCACAATTTAAGACCATGTTGTCATAGAATGATATTAAGAACACTAACTGCATCATGATGATAATCAAACGATAATGGCAAGTAGTGAAATATCCGAAGCAAAGGACATCTTTACCTTAAAGTTTTGGTTTTGTTTGTGCATCAAATCCTCTTCTTGAAACATGATTTTCCATTTCGATGAAATCTGTAAAATATTTGATCCATAGATTTTGACAGAAATATTTATAGAGCAAAAATGTGTAAGTAATTTTAATAATAAAACAACAGCAAAACAATCTAGCAAAAGAATAATAACTTCGAGAAGAAATTTGAACTCAAGTCCCACTATAAATAAGTCCTAAGGTTTATGACCCAAGTCATAAGTCCTAGTACTCTAAAGCCTATACCCTAACCTTACTTTGACCTAAGCCTCTAATGTCAACTAAGCTCTCCCTATGTCCTATGACCTATGCCTTAGCCCTATATACTACGTTCTATGAACTATTCCCTATGTCCTATACCTTAAGCCCTATGTATTTTGTCCTATACCCTATGCACTATGTCCTATGCCTTGTGCACTATAACCACTACACTTGAAGGAATACTTTCTCCTGGGGAGTGCAAAGAGGAATCAATGCCAATGATCATTGTAGTAGCATCAAAAACAGATAGGACTGAAAGAAAATATCTTCTTGGTAATATTGAATTTAATCCTCCAAGCTGCACCATTAGTAAAGACAACGATAAGACAAAGAATCTTCCATCATAAACAACAAATACATCATATACAACAAATTATACAGCTAATCAAATATAAAATCGTACCTTAACATTGATCTTCAACGAAATATTTGTCAAATATTGATCGTTGACGGTTAATAGTGCAGCCAAGCACTAGCTAACAGTTCCCATTTCAGCAAGTGCCTTATTCTTCAACAATCCCAATCAAGTTTAGTTACTTTTCAACAATAATGAACTTGAACAATTTCGCTATGTGAAAGATAAATAAAATAACTCACCAATTCTTTCTGTCAAGAAAGAGAGATACAACGAATTGCAGAATCCAAGAAACTTTAGCATCCACGAGGCGCACTCTGAGATTAGGTGGAACATATTTATTGCAAAGATCTTCAGAAGGTGTTTAAATCACTTGTAAGAAAAATAATAGAAAAATATAGCAAGATTATTATGGTTTAGATCAGCTTGAATTTTGAAACTTACAATTGTTTTAATTTCACTGCACTCGAAAAGATCTCCTACAAATCCTTGTCCAGCACATCAGGCAGAAGACATAAGCTCTATCTTTGTTTGATTGAATAGGGTTCGGAAAACAAGTCAGGTTGATAACAAACCTGATAATTTCTAAATAAGAAAACTGACAATTAGATAACAAGTTCCACCTCCCGTTTCTTGGTTTGAAGTTCTCTCCTCTCCGATCTCCAACTGAACATAATTTCACATTGAACAAAACATTAATTGGACAAAAAATAGATGAAACTATAACTCAATTTACAACTTATCTTAAAGAAAGAAATGATACCAAACAGTGCATGAGAAAAATGTGAAAGTACTAAAATAAGTATATAATAATTTACCTTGGAAGCTTGTAAAACTTGTGTTTCTACTTGAGTATAGCCATTACTGTTAAACATACGGAGCATATGTTCAGAACCATAATTGTTTCGACAAAAAAATGCCTATAATATAGAATGGTAAGAATCAGGCATCAACCACCCACAATTTAAGACCCTGTTGTCATAGAATGATATTAAGAACACTAATTGCATCATGATCATAATCGAACGACAATAGCAAGTAGTGAAATATGAGAAACAAAGGACATCTTTACCTTAAAGTTTTGGTTTTGTTTGTGCATCAAATCCTCTTCTTGAAACATGTTTTCCATTTCGATGAAATCTGTAAAATATTTTATCCATAGATTTTGATAGATATTTTTATAGAGCTAAGACATGTAAGTAATTTTAAAAATAAAACAACAGCAAAACAATCTAGCAAAAGCAATAATAACTTCGAGAAGAAATATGAACTCAAGTCCTCTATAACTAAGTCGTAAGGTTTATGACCTAAGTCATAAGTCCTAGTACTCTAAGGCCTATACCCTAACCTTACTTTGACCTAAGCCTCTACGTCCACTAAGCCCTCCCTATGTTCTATGCTCTATGCCCTAGCCTTATACACTACGTTCTATGAACTAGTCCGTTTGTCCTATACCTTATGCCCAATGTACTTTGTCCTATGCACTATATGCTATAACCACTACACTTGAAGGAATACTTTCTCCTGGGGAGCCCACAGAGGAATCAACACCAATGATCATTGTAGGAGCATCGGAAACAGATAGGACTGAAAGAAAATCTCTTCTTGGTAATATTGAATTCAATCCTCCAAGCTGCACCACTAATAAAGAGTATGATAAGACAAAGAATCTTGCATCATAAACAATAAATACATCATACACAACAAATTATACAACTAATCAAATATAAAATTGTACCTTAACATTGATCTTCAACGAAATATTTGTTAAATATTGATCGTTGACAGTTAATAGTGCAGCCAAGCACTAGCTAACAGTTCCCATCTCAGCAAGTGCCTTATTCTTCAACAATCCCAATCAAGTTTAGTTACTTTTCAACAATAATGAACTTGAACAATTTCGTTATGTGAAAGATAAATAAAATAACTCACCAATTCTTTCTGTCAAGAAAGAGAAATACAACGAACTGCAGAATCCAAGAAACTTTAGCATCCAGGAGGCCCACTATGAGATTAGGTGGAACATATTTATTGCAAAGATCTTCACAAGGTGTTTAAATCACTTGTAAGAAAAATAATAGAAAAAGATAGCAAGATTATTATGGTTCAAATCACCTTAAATTTTGGAACTTACAATTGTTTTAATTTCACTGCACTTGAAAAGATCTACAAATCCTTGTGTAGCACATCAGGCAGAAGACATAAGCTCTATCTTTGTTTGATTGAATAGGGTTTGGAAAACAAGTCAGGTTGATAACAAAACTGATCATTTCTAAATAAGAACACCGAAATTTAGATAAGAAGTTCCACCTCCAGTTTCTTGGTTTGAAGTTCTCCCCTCTCCGATCTCCAACTGAACATAGTTTCACATTGAACAAAACATTAATTGGACAAACAACAGATGAAACTATAACTCAGTTTACAACTTATCTTAAAGAAAGAAATGATGTCAAACAGTGCATGAGAAAAATGTGAAAGTACTGAAATAAGTATATAATAATTTACCTTGGAAGCTTGTAAAACTTGTGTTTCTAGTTGAGTATAGCCATTACTGTTAAACATACGAAGCATATGTTCAGAACCATAATTGCTTCGACAAAAAAATGCCTGTAATATCAGAATAATAAGAATCAATCATCAACCACCCACAATTGAAGAATTGTTGTCATAGAATGATATTAAGAACACTAATTGCATCATGATGATAATCAAACGACAATGGCAAGTAATGAAATATCCGACACAAAGGACATCTTTACCTTAGAGTTTTGGTTCTGTTTGTGCATCAAATCCTTTTCTCGAAAACTGATGTTCCATTTCGATGAAATCTGTAAAATATTTGATCCATAGATTTTGACAGAAATATTTATAGAGCTAAAACATGTAAGTAATTTTAAAAAAAAAATAACTCACTAATTTTTTCGATCAAGTAAGAGAGAGACAACGAATTGAAAAATACAAGAAAGTTTAGCATCCACAAGGTACAATACTTTCCCCACTCTTAGAAGAGGTAGAATATATTTATTGCAAAGATCTTCACAAGGTGTTTAAATCACATGTAAGAAAACAAATAGAAAAACATAAAAACATTATTATGGTCTAAGTCAACTTGAATTTTGAAACTTACAATAGTTTTCGTTGCACTACACTTGAAAAGATCTACAAATCCTTGTGCATCACATCAGAAAACCTAATCTCCATCTTTGTTTGATTGAATAGGGTTCGGAGAACGAGTCAGGTCGATAACAAAATTGATAATTCCTAGATAAGAACACCAAAATTTAGATAAGAAGTTTAATTACACATCTTATTTGTGAGGTTCCACCTCTCATTTTTCTTGGTTTGAAGTCCTCTCCCTCTTTGATTTCCAACTGAACACAATTCTACATTGAACAAAACATTAATTAGACAAACAGAGGAAATTACAACTTAGTTCACAACTTATCATAGAGAAAGAAATTAATTCGATCAGTGTATGAATAAAATGAGAAAGTACTACCATAAGTATATAACAATTTACCTTGGAAGCTTGAAAAACTCGTGTTTCTACTTTTGTAAAGCCAATACTATTAGACATACAGAGCATATGTTCAAAACCATAATTGCTTCGACAAAAAATACCTGTAATATCAGAATAATAAGAATCAAGCATCAACCACCCACAATTTAACAGCGTGTTGTCATAGAATTAGATCAAGAACACTAATTGAATCTTGATGATAATTGAACGACAATGGCAAGTAGTGAAATATATAAAACAAAGGACATCTTTACTTTAAAGATTTGGTTCTGTTTGTGCATCAAATCCTCTTCTTGAAACATGATTTTCCATTTCAAAGAAATCTGTAAAAAACTTGATTCATAAATTTTTACAAAAATATTTATAGAGCCAAAACAAGTAATTTTAAAAGTAAAACCTCATCAACAACAAAACCATCTGGCAGAAGCAAAAAATAACTTCGAGAAGAAATTTGAACTCAAGTCCCACTGTAACAAAGTCCTTTGCTTTATGACCTAAGTCATAAGTCAGGTTTAAAAAACATAAGCTTTATCTCTGTTTGATTGAATAGGGTTCGGAAAACAAGTTAGGTTGATAACAAAACTGATAATTTCTAAATAAGAACACCAAAATTTAGATAGGAAGTTCCACCTCCCATTTCTTGGTTTGAAGTTCTCCCCTCTCCGATCTCCAACTGAACATAATTTCACATTGAACAAAACATTAATTGGACAAACAACATATGAAACTACAACTCAGTTTACAACTTATCTTAAAGAAAGAAATTAATCCGAAAAGTGCATGAGAAAAATGAGAAAGTACTAAAATAAGTATATAATAATTTACCTTGGAAGCTTGTAAAACTTGTGTTTCTACTTGAGTATAGCCATTACTGTTAAACATACGGAGCATATGTTCAGAACCATAATTGTTTCGACAAAAAATTTCTTTTATTATAGAATTTTAAGAATCATGCATCAACCACCCACAATTTAAGACCCTGTTGTCATAGAATGATATTAAGAACACCAATTCCTTCTTGATGATAATCAAACGACAATGGCAAGTAGTGAAATATTTGAAACAGAGGACATCTTTACCTTAAAGTTTTGGTTCTGTTTGTGCATCAAATCCTCTTCTTGAAACATGATTTTCAATTGCAATGAATCTGTAAAATATTTTATTCATAAATTTTGACAGAAATATTTATAGAGCCAAAACATTAAAGCAATTTTAAAAATAAAACTACAACAACAACAACAAAACCATCTATCAGAAGCAATTATATTTTGAGAACAAATTTGAACTTAAGTCCTGTTATAACTAAGTCCTAAGCTTTATGGCCTAAGTCATAAGTTGTAGTACTAAGTCCTAAATCCTAACCTCACTTTGACCTAAGCATTTAACGTCCATTAAGCCCTCCCTATGACTTATTCCCTTTGCCTTATGTACCACGTTCTATGCCCTATGTCCTGTGCACTATGCCCTAGACTCTATGCACTATGTCCTATGCATTAGCACCTATGCTTTATGCTCTATGCACTATGTACTATGTCGTATGCCTTGTACCCTATGACTACTACAATTGAAAGAATAGTTTGTTCTCAGGAGCCCTTGGACGCATCAATGCCAATGATCAGGGTAGGAGCATTAGAAATATATTGGACGGAAAGAAAATCTTTTGTTGGTAATATTGAACTCAATCCTCCAAGCTGCAACTCATAGAAAATATCCTAAAAATTCCAGATATTGGTGACTATGATTATACCAGCTTTGTATAACCCTCAGAGAAGGTTGAATTTGGTTTGCTGATAGAGAAGTCGGGTATTAACTCTGACCCGAAATCAGCAGAACAAATTAATTGAATAGAATTGAATTGAAATTCAAGGTGATACATGATTATTGATGTTTGATGCAAGCAACATAAAGTACCAAATACATATAAACTTAAGATCAACTATGTCGGTGCATTTTATGCAATTAGATGCCTTACTTGCACCTATATATATATGGCTTTTCCTTATTGCTCTCCTCAGCTGGGTTANCCTCTTCTTGAAACATGATTTTCAATTGCAATGAATCTGTAAAATATTTTATTCATAAATTTTGACAGAAATATTTAGAGAGCCAAAACATTAAAGCAATTTTAAAAATAAAACTACAACAACAACAACAAAACCATCTATCAGAAGCAATTATATTTTGAGAACAAATTTGAACTTAAGTCCTGTTATAACTAAGTCCTAAGCTTTATGGCCTAAGTCATAAGTTGTAGTACTAAGTCCTAAATCCTAACCTCACTTTGACCTAAGCATTTAACGTCCATTAAGCCCTCCCTATGACTTATTCCCTTTGCCTTATGTACCACGTTCTATGCCCTATGTCCTGTGCACTATGCCCTAGACTCTATGCACTATGTCCTATGCATTAGCACCTATGCTTTATGCTCTATGCACTATGTACTATGTCGTATGCCTTGTACCCTATGACTACTACAATTGAAAGAATAGTTTGTTCTCAGGAGCCCACGGACGCATCAATGCCAATGATCAGGGTAGGAGCATTAGAAATATATTGGACGGAAAGAAAATCTTTTGTTGGTAATATTGAACTCAATCCTCCAAGCTGCAACTCATAGAAAATATCCTAAAAATTCCAGATATTGGTGACTATGATTATACCAGCTTTGTATAACCCTCAGAGAAGGTTGAATTTGGTTTGCTGATAGAGAAGTCGGGTATTAACTCTGACCCGAAATCAGCAGAACAAATTAATTGAATAGAATTGAATTGAAATTCAAGGTGATACATGATTATTGATGTTTGATGCAAGCAACATAAAGTACCAAATACATATAAACTTAAGATCAACTATGTCGGTGCATTTTATGCAATTAGATGCCTTACTTGCACCTATATATATATGGCTTTTCCTTATTGCTCTCCTCAGCTGGGTTATGAGAATTTTGATCAAGTCAGCCTCCCCCAAGAATTCTTCCTACAAATGCACAACACATATAAATAATATTTTGCAAATGCAAGAAACTTAAGTTACCAATGCACTAAATATTTTCTGCCTACGCTCATTTTCTCACAAACTAAACAGAAGCCAGGAAAAACAGAAGATACGTGGAGCCAACCTCACAACGTTCTTGAAGTAGCCTAACTGGAACCATTTCAGATTCCACAAGCCATCTTGCATGAAGAAATGAAAATCTTAAAATCAATAGTAAATTATAAAGGAAAGATAGACATAATGTTTACTCCAAAAAGATGAAAATTTACAAATTAAGGTTTATATCAAATAAAGTATACAAGACCAGCTTGATGAGACAGTAACACATAATTACAATAAATGGGTTTACTACAAATAATACAGTAATAAATCATCGGTCACTAGAAATTGAAACAGTATTCATTGTCTCCCTCCAATCACAAATGACACGGTGATAATACATATAAAGAGAGAAAAAGACTCCACAAGAAGACGATCTTGTTGTTGATACAAGAGATACTGAGGATTGAAAAAAAGGGAGGCAGTGTGGTATCAGTGATATGAACGGTGGGATTGAAGAATCATCCAAGAAGTGTCCAAGATTCAAACCTTGGACGGTGCCAAAGAAGAAAATTATCTTATGAAGAGAAAAGGCATTTTTTTTTAATGCAATGGCGGTATCAGTGATATAAGACATTTCATATTGTTAAATGTAGCTATTTTTTTTTAAATGTATATATAATATGTAAATATGTATAGAATTATTAGTTATGGCGTCTTTTTAAAAATTTAGAAGGAAAATGATAATGAATACACATATTGGAAATCAAATAATATATATAAAAAAAATAAGAAATATGAGAGGAAAAAAATGAAACAAAAAAACATATAATTAAAGTTATTTAATTGTTTAAACTAGAAAAGAAACATGATAAAAAGTTCATCAATAAATTACCGATAAGAATCCATTAACAAACATGGGAAAGAATGGTAATGTAATAAATTAAGTCTCTTTAATAAAGTAAAGAATTAAATTTTTTAAATAACAGAAAAAGTATAAAAGGAGGAAAATCATATTAATATGTTAAAGAAATACCCACTTCTCACTTTTTAAAAGAAATGTCTTATATCAGATAATTATTTCTTCCTCTCTCCATTTTTCTTTTTTATCTAAAACTGTGCTTCTGTCGATATATTGTATCGACGGATAAATTTGTGGGCAATTTGCTCAAGCATTTGAAGATGATTACAAACGATGATTTTTGAAAAAAAAAAGTGATTTTTATCTCTGCATGTTAAAGGAGAACCAAGGTGATTTACTGTTAATGTTCATGTAAAATGAAAAGAACATGTTGCCCTATTTATTTATGGGTTTTGGAAAGAAGAAGAAAAGTAAGGGGGATTGATTTTGTCCATCATAGAATCGATTATGCCAGAAGAAAAAGGCCTTAATCAATTCTATTGCATTTTCAATAAACTAGAATCGATTTTGTGTTACTGAAATCGATTCTGGATAAATATAAAGAAAAATAATTCTGGATGTGTTTCTTAGACAATAGAATCAACTATGGTAGTGTTGGAATCTATTATAAGTGTGTTTGTGATGGTTTGGAATTGAGTATAGAAAAGTCCGTCTTAATTTAATTCTATTATCTTGGACGTAGAGAATTATTATAACATGACAAGTTATGCAAGTGTGGGCCAATGGATTAA